GATTGATCTGAAGCTTCTTTTTGTTGGTCAAAAGATCGGACAAAGGAGAGCTTAGAAATTTGAAACCTGGTAAATAAAAATTTACATATGTCATAATTTTTACTTTTTCTTATTTTCCCATTGTTGAATTCTTAACAAGCCACATGTGTTCATAAAACTTGTTGGTGACACCCGATCATAAATCTATTACGAATTCATTATTTATTCTGTTTTTCTGGTTAATTCTAACATAATTCTTGTAATCAGTTCGAAATTGCCAAAACAAAAATAGATGATTCTTGTTGTGGTTCTATAACAAAAGAAGGTGAGCTAGTGATCTATTGAGATGGAGACAACAATGAAGACTTGAGTTGCATCATCAAAATAGTCTTTAAGAATGCATCAATATATCATATTTATTCTTTCTAGTAAGTTATTTTGTTTTCCCTTTAAGCCAATTAAGTTAATTCTGTGAGAATGACTTTCTTTCCTCATCGTTGGATGTTATTCTCATCTTTAATTTTTTTTTATTCTTTAAGAATATTTTACAGCTATTTCCGGTATAATCATATAAGAATGATTATGGTAGAATCAAATAAGAGTGATTTTTCCAAGGTTCTATTGCAATTATTCTAAAAAAATACTCGATATCATGACAGTTATTCTGATAGAATGCATGAAGGGGAACATGATGATCAAGAACATAAAGGTTAGATGATGGTGTGCAAGATATAAATGAAAAACGTGACCAAATAAAGCACTATTCATTATTATATTCTAATAGAATGATCGATTTCATGGAAGTTATTCTTATTTTGTCGTTGTAATTTTTTTAGAAATGTATTTTGTTTTAAAGAATATTTATAAACATTCTTTAAGAATGCTCCTTAATATGGAATCTTGTTCATGGATTCTCAATTTTGAAAGAATATATAGATAATAATTAATATAATTAATTTGAATTGGATAAGTTTCCTTAATTTATGAATTTTACTCATTGGTTGAATGATACACACAAAGTCCATACTACCCTTAAAAACATTTTAAATTTGAATCCATAATTTTTTTTGTATTCTAAAAGAATTTTAAAAATCTATATATTCTATAAATAATTGGTCCATACCCATAATTTTTTTTGTATTCTAAAAGAATTTTAAAAATCTATATATTCTATAAATAATTGGTCCATAATTGTCCATACGTCCATACAATAGATGTCATCCACATTATAACCTATATATATATATATATATATATATATATATATATATATATATATATATATATATATTAAGTGATTAAATTCTCCAGATAAAAAAACAAAGGAAAAAAAAAACACATAAACATGTCGTTTTTTGGTATATTTATGCAAGTGTTGTCACTAACCTTCATTTTGTGTGCCTTCCCCTTCCTTTTGTGCATGAAAACCCTATAACCACATTACTACATCACATTCATCATCAATCAGATGCTTACACACATAGAATACACACTCGGAAATACACACACATAGAAACAACCCTTTTACGTGGTATATATGCACGATCAACAATTTCTTTATTATTTCTGGTGGTGTGTAGGAAGCAATATGAAGAAAATGCATAAAAACGAAATGAGAAAGATGATCCAGGAGGTGCGTAATGGTGACGATCTATACGGTTTGACTAGGAGATAATAGTTTCTATAAAAATAGGCATTTTAATTTGGTTAGTTAATTAACTAAGGGGTATAATAATTAATTATTAATCAAATTAGTGAGTTACTATAATGCCCATATAAAATGATTGGTCCATATTGAGTTAGACATTTATACAAATCTAGTTGATGGGCGGGATGGTTACATGAAAGATGATGATGACATTCGTTTATGTTGATTTGGCTTGATTTGAATACTATGCTTTTGTTTTTATTAATTTGGCATGATTTGCAGACTATTATGAATTTTAATATCTTTTATTTTTTGGATGATGACATTAAGTAAGGCTTTTATGTTTGAAATTGGACTTTAGTATGTTTTTTATGATTCATAAAATATATTACTATTATTATTTTATTCTGCCTCGTGAGGTGAAGAGTAAACGCCTCGAGGCCCAATTCCATATTTTAAAACATTGCCAACAACTATCAAACGGGACCTAAGTTTTGTCGAATAGTCGGCTCGTTAAAAAAAACAAAAGTGTGTATATATATATATATATATATATATATATATATATATAGTGTGTATATATATCCAATAATAAGGGCTAGAGAGAATGATGTCACACAACTTTTGCTAGCACGTAGACCACCTCACTTTTTGTCACACCACTTAATTTTCTTGCCATTTAGAGGGTATGGTTTGTAGAATTTTTAAATTGAAAAAAATAACAAATAAAAATAAAAAAAAAAACCTTAAAAGTATAGCATTTTTGAACTAGTTCGTCAAAGAAGTAAAATAGGAGGAAAGCTCGATAGCTTATTGTCGAAGAAGTTTGTTGAACTCGACATGTTGCAGTAGAGGCGTGATGTGCTAAGCGTTGAATATGATTGTGACGAATGGTTGCCGGGATTGTCAAGATCGTTATGCATAGCCTAAGTGAAACTAGGTTGCAATGATGATTTTATGACAAAAGAGAGGTCAACAGATAAAACGAGACAAAAAATAAAGAACATATATAATAGTTTCATGGGTTATTTCAACAATTTTTTCTTTTTATTATAAACTAAGATTTTACTCGCAAGGCGTTGTAACAACTGTAATGGGTTTAATTAAGTTGTCAAGCACAAAAGCCAAGAACCACAACCATGCCAAGAAAATACTTAAAAAATAAGCACCAAAACATAAATTTTTTACGTGAAACATAGATAAAGCTGATGGATAGGAAAATAAAATTATATATAGTACAAGAAGAAAAACTTTTTCACAACCGTGTGGGTGAAATGATATTTTATAATGTTTTTATATAGTACGGAAGTAAACAAAAAAGTTTAGAAAATAGAAAAGGTGGAAGTAACAATTTAGAAAGATTTTCAAAACCGAAGGGGGTAAAAGTGTAATTTTGAAAAGTAGAAGGTATGAAGTGTCATTTTACAAACTAAAAGAAAAAAAAAATGATAGATATAAATAGTGAAAGGAGTAAATGGGGAAAAGCAAAGACAATATGATTTTAATTTTAGCTTTATATAAAAAAATCAAGGGAAAAATGACATGCAAGGGTAATTACCTTTTTGTCTTGTTCACGTTTAGGTAACTTCATTTTTTATGTACACATTTGACCATTTAACTTGTTAAATATGTTCACATATTACCATTGCCACCTGCTATAGCGGGTGACAATGGTAATATGTGAACATATTTAACAAGTTAAATGGTCAAATATATACAAAAAAAGAAAGTTATTTAAATGTGAACAATTTTTTTTTACAAATTTCTTAAATTTTTTTATAATTTCTTACAACATTTTTATGATATTTTTTCACATTTTTTATTTACAAATTTCTTAAATTTTTTTATAATTTTTTACAACATTTTTATGATATTTTTTTCTTATAGGTTTTTCTAATACAATGTTTTAAACTTTGCTTATAATTTTTTTTTCAACTTTTTTTATAATTTCATATAATTTTAATACAAGTGCTTTTAAACCAAATACTTTATAAATATTTTTAAATTCTCTTACAAGTTTTTTACTTTTTTTTTTTTTTTTTTTTTTTTTTTTACATTTTCATACAATTTTTTCTATAACTTTCATATATATTTTTTCTTTACAATATTTTTAAAATGTTTCACAGATTTTGTATGACAATTTAATATTTTTTATAACATTTTAAAATACTTTCATTAAATACTAGTTTAAAACGTTGTATTAAAAAAATTAAAAGTTTATAAACTTCTAAGTAAAAAGCATTAAAAAGTTGGAATAATTTTAAAACATTTACATTATATAGATTTTTTTTATTTGGTAAGTAATATTTTCTTTTTAATTTTTTAAAAGACCCTCTATACTTATTGTTACATATTTAATTTATTTAATTTTATTGCTAGATGTTAATTACTTTAAAAATATTTTATATGCTTCAAACAAATAAAAAAAAATATATAAGAGGCTATATAAAACATTTCACAAAACAAAAACACATTTATTAATTAAAAAATAAAGTTTAAAATCGATAAATATTTAATTAATATTTAGGAAAGAGAAATTAAATAGTCTCCTACTTTTTGTTCCTAATATCCTCCTACCTATTTTAGATGGTGACAAGTGTCATTAAATTTAATTTAAACTTGATTGAGATTTTGAATTTGTACGCTTGTCATCATTTTAAAATATGTAGGTAGAAAAGTATGAACAAAAAGGTAGAATGATATTTAATTTCTCTTTAGGAAATTATAGATATTTTAAAAATAACGTTTGAAAAAAATAATACAAACAAATATGAAAAATAAAATCGCTATTAAAAGTGGAGAAAATAACTTATCATGGTAATTAACTTTTCGTTTTGTTCACATTTAAGCAACTTTTTTTTTTGTACACATTTGAGCATTTAACTTGTTAATTTGTTCACATATTACCATTGTCACCTGCTATAACTGGTAACAATGACAATATGTGAACACATATAACAAGTTAAATGCTCAAATGCGTACAAAAATAAAGAAATTACATAAATGTAAACAAAACGACAAAGATGATTACCCTTGTAAGTCATTTTCCCAAAAATCAATAATAAAACTCTTTTTGTCAACATACACAACCAAAGAATGCAAATAATTGATATAGTATTTACCAAATAAATTATTATTTATGGTTTTAAAATATTAATATTTAAATTAAAAGCAATGAATTCTATTTATTAAAATAATAAATAACTATGTTTTTCATGTGCTATTTACAATGTGGTGTTAGATTTTTTTTTAATAAAGATATGGTTTTGAAAAATCACAGTTTTGATGTTTTTTTGGTATTATAAATGGAAATGGCCTAATCGGCTTTTAAATAGTGAAAAAACGATTTACATACTCTACATAAACAAATTAAATGAACTTTTGTATGATATATCACATGTCTGTATTACCCTTTTAACTTTCCATTGACAAAATAATATTCCTACCAACAACTTTTAATGAGCTGATCCTTCCACAACAAGGTAATACACAACAACATATGCTTTAGAGTGTTGTAAAATATCCCAATTGTACAATCCTATAAAGCATAAATTGTTGTGTAGGACAAAAAGTTGTTGTCTAGAGATAATTTGTAGGACAAAAAGTTGTTGTCTACAGATAATTTCCCCGACTTTTAGAGAAACAAGTAGACCAAGATGACTAAAAAACATACATATTCCTACAAGTTACAAAACAAACACATCAAAATGGAATGTATCAAATACTTTTTTACTGAATAAAATAAAAAGGTTCAAAGCAATAAATAATGCAAATACAAAATGTGACCTCAAAAAAGCCTATGATTTTTGCCCTTCTTCAGCAGCAGCTTCAAAGGTTTCGCCTGCCACAAGTTCCGGGACTTCATCATCATCGTCCACTTGTGCTGATGTGGCACCAGCGGCTTCAGCGCCACCTGGCACCTGCTTCTGGAATTGCTCTGCTAACTTTCTCAAGTTATCCAAGTTATCTGGCCCTGTAAAAAACAATAAAAAATGTCATCTTTTTATCACCAAAAAACAAACACAAAATCTAATTGAAAACATGGTATTTAGGCATACCAAGCTGGTTGAGAATGCCAGGGAGAATATCTTGTAATTCTGAAATAAAACATAATAAAAACAGATATTATCATACACCAGTCATACATAACATATCAATATCCCCCATTAAGTCGAAAAAACATCTTAATAATATAAGCAAGATGAATTTGCAGTTTATTTTTCTATGAAAGATGCATACATAAGTAAAAAAAAAAAAGATAGAAAGGCAGCTTACTCTTTGTTTGAGGAGTACCACTAACAACCCATGTGTTGGCAGCAATAGAGGCTTGAACTGAAGACATATGAACAAAGATTATTGATTTCTCCTGTTAACTTATAGTTATAATAAAAGGATAAGAGTTAAAATTGGTACCTTTAGGGTTTAAGAACTGGATAACTGTTTCATCCTTAAAAATGTTAACTTCCTCAATTGCTGGTATTGCGTTTACACCTATTCTCTTCAAAGTGCTCTGCAGCCTCTTGTCATCTGTGGTGGTTGTTTTATGTACAGCCTTCTTCTTTCTGCAGGTTTGGATCAAATTGAGTATGTAAACAACCAAAAATTCAATACAGATACATTCCCTTTTTGTCCATTTCCTTGTTAAGTTGCAATTCTGTTGTTCAATTAAGAATGTTAAATGATAAAAGTACTATCAATTATCACTATCTCCAATAAGAGGTGATAAAAACAAAGTTAAGCAAATACACATCTCTAAAGCACGACAACATATTAGATACAGACCTTCTCACGCTTCCCTTCCCACCAGTGCGCACAGCACCTGCCATCTTCTGTAGCTTTTCGACATTCATCTGCCACAAGTAATAAAAAAAATGTTTGGAATAACTACCAATAATCAGATGCAGATGCAAATGCAAATTAATAATCTTCTAACCCTAAGTAACTTCACAAATGACGAACATAAACAACATCAAAAAAAAAAAAAAAAAAAAAAAAAAATCGAATGCTATACATCTCTAACAGTAAAACAGTCGATAATAACAATATCAAGCGACGTCGTAATTTGGGTTCATAACTCTCAGTTAGTAAGCCAAACTATAGAAACCGAATCGTTAAATTAGCTAAATTGTTGTACATAAATAGATTTACAGTCAAAATCGATTTGTGAAATCAGATGGTAACGAAGGCGAAAAAAACGTACCTTGGCGTCGATAAGATATTGAGCGATGAACGGAAGCTGAGAGTGACGGAGAACTGAGATAACAGATAAAACCCTAGCGTCAATCTTCGGGGTTTATATATGCCGCCCTAGATCTGATAGAAAAAAAATTCACACTCCTACCCTGCACTACAATAGAATTCATAAATTTCCCTTGTTATTTCATTTTTAGAATAAACTAGGATTTTACACGTTGCACGTTGCGGCGGCAATAATGTATTTAAGAAGTAGTAGAAAGTAAGTTGCTACATGTGGAACATGAATTGAGTAAGACTTAATCCGACAAATCACAATGTCTGATGCCAAAACCATGCCAAACAAAAATAATAAAACCGTATTATATATGACATGCATAAGTAAGTAATATTTTTTTAAGTTAACGAATGGAAGTTCAAATAATTAAAAACATATCATATGTGATCCGGCTTACACGTATAAAAATAAGCACGAAAATAAAAAGAATACATTTAAATGTAGACGGACTCGAATTTATAACCCGACAGGTATGTTAATTTTTTTTTTTAATAAACGAACTGAAGTTCTAAATTTACGCCGAAACAATTTACGTTGAAACATTGATCACCTCTAATTGATACCGACACATATAAAAGGTTAGAAAAATCAGAGGGGTGATAACTGTAGGAGAATCAGATTATACATATTATGGGAAATAAAACAACAGTTTAGAAAATAAAATGGGTGAAATTGCCATTTTCTAAAGTTTAAATACAGGGGTGAATATGATATTTTAAAAGGTGAAGGGTTGAAAATGTTATTTACTAAAGTATGAGGATAATAGCAATAAAAACTTAGTAGGAGGACTGAAATTGCCAAAAGCTAAAAATGATTTAGAGTGAAAATGAAAAATAAGAAAAGTTGAAAGGAGTAAAAACTAAATAAACTTAGAAGGGGGACCTAAACTACCAAAAATAAAAAATGATTGGAGAGTTAAAATGAAAAATAGGCAAAAGTATATTGTAACACCCATAAAATTTAAACCAAAATTTAAACTTTTCAAAACATTTAAATCCAAGAGTTATTACAAATTTTGTTTTCAAAATAGTCTTTATCAAAGTTTTCCCAGAAACATAAACAAAATGTGAGGAGCTGTACGATTACGCATTCGCCTTGCCGCGATCCCCTGATGTACCTGAAACAATAAACTGAAACTGTAAGCCCGAAAGCTTAGTGAGTTCCCCCAAAATACTCATACTCACAATAATACACATATAACCATAAACAACATATTATGGGTCCAATCAACCATCGGGTTGGAATACCCCAGACCCTCAACCTTTCCGGTTGGAATGCCAAGATATTATGGGTCCAATCATCCTCGGGATGGAATACCCCAGGCCCTCAACCTTTCGATTTGAATGCCAACATACTATGAGTCCAGTCATCCTCGGGATGGAATACTCCAGGCCCACAACCAACAGGTTGGAATGCCCAGGTCTATTGGCTTTCGCACAAAGCAGATAAGTCTCAACCAATAAACGAACATGTGCACATGTAATCAGATAATCATGTAACAAATAATCATGTAACAGTCTATAGACATCAATCAATCTAACAGATCATACCACATAATATTATCCTACTCTATAGGATACCGATCTAACAGATCCTACCACTTATCATAATACTAGATAACAATCCAAATGGTCGGCCTTGGTGCCTTAGACCCTTGAGTATAGTGAGGATAACTCACTTGACTAGTAGTGCCGAAATGCTGAAATTCTAACCGCTGCCTCATTGGAAATCCCGAGCTGACACACATAAAAAAAAAATGCTAGGTTACTACCTAACATCACTCCCTTGACTAAGTGTCCATTTAATTCATAAAGATCATTCCTTTTTGTTGGGCCGAGGCCCACACCAAGTCCTTATCTTGAGGGCCCATTCTCTAAAGTCCTTTATTGGCCTAATTTACCAAATTGGGCCCAACCTCCTTATTGGGCCTAACCCTATGATTCACTATCATAACCTGGCCCAAAATATCCTATTTGCAGAGTCCAACAAAGGCCCAAATCCATTTGTCCCACAAACCCTAAGCCTATTTGACATGAGTCCAATCAGAGAGCGTACGCGGGGCGTACCTCTCTGGTTATGCTGGGCGTAATGCCGCTCTACGCTGACTGCCATCGGGATAGCTGACCCCGTACGCTGGGCGAACAGATTTTACGCTGAGTGTACGCGGGGTTTTACCAAAATCCTCATAAGTGCTTAATGGCTTAAGCACTTAAGCCCATATCCCAGATCCATCGACCAAATACGCCTTGGGACCATAAAGTTCAGGACTTTATCACTTTGGACGTCCAGAAAGTCCTTAACTCATGGTCTTAACCCATTAAGACCTTCTTGCTTCATGCATGGGACAAGTCTAGCCTGTGGGAACTGATTTTTATCACTTAGGACCTCTCCTAAGGTCTGAAAGGACAACTTATTTCGTCTAAGACATCACATGCATCTTCTTGGGACTCTTGGGACAATAAGACCTCTATAAGGTTAAATGTCTAGATCTATAAACAAGCAAGCACCAAGTTTCAATCTTTTTACCTTCTGGAGCTTTGATGGCACAACACAACTTCAGATCTATAGCCTTGCTCTCCTCTTCTAGCTCCTTGGAGCAATGTATTCACTTCCAAGGTCCAAAATGCACACTAACTCACACTTCTTCACACATTCTAGCGTTTGGGATGCTTTCTGAGGTAAGGAGGCTGAGGATGAGCAAAGGAATGAGCCATAAAGGTGTTTATATAGTCCTCAACCTCGAATATTAGGGTTTTCAACAGCCATAAGTACGTCCAACGTACATGAGTTTACGCCCAGCGTACTAGAGCGCGCCTAGTACGCTTAGTGTACCCTTATGTACGCTCAGCGTACTACTTCCAATTCCAAAGTTGCAATTCTAGCCCTTATACTCCTCGTGACCCAACACAACCAACTCCAAGGGCCGACAATGACAACTAATAAAAGAAGAAAGGTTTTTAAGATATACCTGCAAGGTTTGGGGCGTTACAACTCTCCCCCACTTGACCTAGACTTCGTCCCGAAGTCGGATGCAACGAAAAGATCCGGGTAGTGCTCTCTCATTTCGGACTCTGGCTCCCAAGTCCACTCACATCCCCTCCGATGCTCCCATTGTACCTTTACCAAAGGCACTTCCTTGCTTCGTAGGATCTTCACCTTCCTCTCAAGAATGGCCACCGGTCTCTCCGCGTAATTCAAGCGCTCATCGACCTGAATGTCATCCAACGAGACTATCACATCCTCATCTAGGATGCACTTCCGCAGTTGTGAGACGTGGAAAGTATTGTGGATCTGAATCAACTCCTCCGGGAGCTCCAACCTATATGCCACCTTGCCAACCCTGGCAATAACCCTGAATGGCCCAATGAAGCGGGGACACAATTTTCCCCTCTTCCTGAAGCGGATGACACCCTTCCAAGGTGAAACCTTCAGGAGTACCATATCACCAACTTGAAATTCCAACTCAGATCGGCGCCGGTCGGCGTAGCTCTTCTGCCGGCTCTGTGCAGTCTGCAGTCGTTGTCTGATCTGCTGAATCCTCTCAGTAGTCTGCAGAACCACCTCAGTTCTGCCCATCACCCTATGACCATTTTCACCCCAACAAACTGGGGTGCGACATCTCCGTCCATATAACAGCTCGAAGGGTGGGGCACCTATGCTGGAGTGGAAGCTGTTGTTGTAGGAAAACTCTGCAAGCGGTAGGTAGGGGTCCCAGCTCCCACCGAAGTCAATAACGCAAGCCCTCAACATATCCTCGAGAGTCTGTATAGTCCGCTCACTCTGGCCGTCAGTCTGCGGATGATAGGCTGTACTGAAGTGCAGCCGCGTGCTCAGTTCCTTATGGAACTTTTGCCAGAATCGGGAGGTGAACCGAACATCACGATCTGAAAACAATAGAAACCGGTACCCCATGGTGAGCAACGATCTCGCGGATATATATCTCGGCCAATTTCTCTGCTGACGAACTCTCCCGTATAGCTAAAAAGTGGGCACTCTTGGTCAATCGATCCACGATGACCCAGATAGCGTCGAAACCCTTGGCCGTCCTCGGCAACTTGATGATGAAATCCATCATGATCTGCTCCCATTTCCACATGGGAACCTCCAGCGGCTGTAACTTGCCATGCGGCCTCTGATGTTCGGCCTTGACCATCCTGCAGCTCAAGCACCTCTCGACATACCATGCGATGTCTCGCTTCATACATGGCCACCAATAACTCAACTGTAAATCTCGATACATCTTGGTGGCTCCCGGGTGAATGGAGAAGCGAGACTTATGAGCCTCCTCCAGAACAACCTGCCTGACCCCGCCGGACATCGGAATCTAGACCCGCCCGCAACGGGTCAACAACTCACGGCTATCCTGCACGAACCGGGTGTTCTCACCCTTAATCCTTTCCAGCTTCCAATTTTCCCGACGCATGCCCTCTGCCTGAGCTTCCCTGATCAAAATCACAAGTGGGGAATCCACTGATATCCTCATACACGCCACCGCAGAAGAAGGTCCTGCTGATTTGCGGCTCAGAGCGTCCGTAACCACATTCGCTTTACCCGGGTGGTAAAGGATCTCACAATCGTAGTCCTTAACTACATCCAACCACCTGCGCTGCCTCATATTCAGGTTTGGTTGATCCACAATGTGTCTCAAACTCTTGTGGTCCGTGTATACGCTACAGCGGACCCCATAAAGGTAATGTCTCCAGATCTTGAGAGCGAAAACTACTGCTCCCAACTCTAAATCATGAGTAGGGTATCTTGTCTCGTGCGACTTCAACTGCCGCGAGGCATATGCTATAACCCGTCCCCTCTGCATAAGAACGGCTCCCAGTCCCGTGATGGATGCATCACAGAAGACCACAAAATCCTTCACTCCCTCCGGGAGGGTCAAGACTGGAGCCTCGCATAATCGCTGTCGGAGGGTCTCAAATGCCTTCTTCTGTTCGGGGCCCCACCGGAAATCCACCCCTTCCTCGTTAGACGAGTGAGGGGTACTGCAATCTTGGAGAAATCTTGAATAAATCTCCGGTAGTACCCTGCTAATCCCAGGAAGCTTCTAATATCAGAATGTGATCTCGGCACCTCCCACTGCATAACCGCCTCGATTTTGGCCGG